GTGGTGGAGCCGGCCCAAGGCAGCCTGGTGCAGAGAGACGCACGACTGCCACGTCTGAGCGTGTGACTGCAGGGGACACGTCGTCAGTCCTGTACCCTGCTGTCCCCCCATGCCTCCATCCATCAGCACGGAGACACCAGCCGGAACACAGCTGTCGGGAGCTGCTGAGGAGGAGAAACGTCCCCACGGGCAGTGTGTCAACCAGGGCACTGTGGGGCCTCACCGCCGTGGTTGTCCATGATGGGAGTAGATTTCCCTCGGACGGTCATGGGAGGCGAGCTTGGAGAAGAGCGAGGGTGGGTGTTGGGGTGCACTCGGGCAGAGAGACTTGGGCTGTTGTTTGGCTGACCTTTGACTTTTGACCGTAGTTCACCCAGTCAGAGGCTGAGTCCAGACAAGGCCTGTGCGTGAAGGGCACACGGGCTTGGTGGAGGGCCTCCCTGGCTTCGCGGTGCGCACTTCAGCACCTATGCTTCCTTTCAAAGATCTGCAGCTGGGCTTCTGCGGGGCGCCTTGTCCTTGTTTCGTGGATAGAGTGCAATCACAGCTCGCACGTCTCGCACTGCTGAGAGCTCCACGGATAACCGACCTCGACCCTCGCTGCACTCTGGAGCGCTCGGACCTGCAGTTCAGTGGATGGGCCCAGGCGGGCACTTCCTGTGCTTCGCAGCCTCGTCCTGCACTCCAAGCCCACGGCCCACCCATGGGAGCCTGTGCGCAGTCCTGCTTCTCTGGGCACCACCAGCACCACGGCCCCACTCTTCCCCACCCCGGCTCACAGCCAGGCTTGCACCAGGGACAGACCCTTTCCAGAATAGGGAGGTGCGGGCTGGCCTAGTAGCTCCGGAGGCCGCTCTGCTCGGGCAGCTGGTTTGCAGCCCCAGCCTCTGCCATGTCCCGCCCCTCTGGCCTGGAGCACTCGTGTGCTCCCGTCTGGTTCAGAAGTGGCCGGAGAACGAATTCTCACTTTGAGCTGACGTGCGATTTGTCCACCCACCCAGCCCTCTGCTCTGGCGTACGGGCGTGGGTGCGTACGCTCGCACCTGTGCATGCTGGAGTCAAGGCTCAGCAGGGGAGAGAAGCCGCGAGGCCTTCGGGCTGCTTTCTTAGAACACACGGGGCCACTTTGGAGGACAGCAGTTCCACAGCTTATTTATCGACCTGTTCTGTGAGAAGGGCGAGCATCAGCGTGGCCTCGTGACCCCCTGCCCTCCGCCTTCCCAGCCATCGGGATCACAGGGATGTGAGCTCACCGGCACCTATGGCCAACCCGGGAACCGAACCCTGACTCGCTGGTAGTGCTGGCGTCACTGAGTGCCAGGCCGCCGGTGTGCCAGACCTGGAGGGCCGTGTTCCCTAGCGAACTGTGAGCTAGATAGGACTCGGCCCGCCCTGTCACAGTGGCTGGGTTCTCATGGCAACCACATCCAAGCCCCAAGCACCTGAGCACCGGCAGTCCTCCCCCAGACCTGCCCGGGGACCTGAGTCCCGCGGTTCCACACCCGGACAACCACCGACAGCAACAAAGCCGAAGGCGGAGGCCCCACGGACCCGGCAGGCTGACAGCCCAGGCCTCTCAGGGATCTCCGTGGAGTGGCCCACCTGCTGCCCCGGCGTGGCGCTGGTGGAGGTGCGTCCAGGAAAGCTGGCGTGGCTGGGGGTGTC